GAGTCCTGTGGCACCTTATAGACTAACTGAAGTGTAGGAGCATAAGCTTTCGTGGGCAAAGACCCACTTCATCAGATGCATCTGACGAAGTGGGTCTTTGCCCACGAAAGCTTATGCTCCTACACTTCAGTTAGTCTATAAGGTGCCACAGGACTCCTCGTCGCTCATGCTATCACATCATTCTGAGAGCATTTTGCACTCACTTTACAGCTGTAAATGACTAGGCAAGGTTTGATACAGCACAGAATCAACCTTAGAGAACATATTCTTCATAAGTACTTCCTTTTTCACTCGAGTTGTTCCCCGTTACATAGTACCGCAAAGACACAGATCCTGTTATGTACCTAACTCTTATGCATGGGTTTTGGAACCTATTCTTTATCTAGTAGCATGATGTAGAGGAGAAATAGGATCTTCAGTTACCGTTGATTCAAGGAGCTATGCCACTTTACACCTTTGGGGGATCTGGTCCTTTTTAACACCTCATATTATTAAGGAAACCAAATAAAAATAAAAACATGTTCCCAGTGACTTAAAAGGGTTGTCTGCTTCCAGTCACTGCCTGTCTGTGATTTATTCCTGGCTTTGGAGCTCTGTTGGGATGATTTTATTACCTCTTTTTAATTTAAAGATACCCATGAGGGAGATCTTTATAAGCTTCTATGGATCCAAAATGCCCACCATGGGCACAGAGTCAACATGCTGTGGGTTTTTATTAAAATGGGCAAAGAAAGGAACATTGCTGGTGCATGAAAGGGGAACCATAGAGGGCACTGCTTCCGGAGTTACAGCATGAAATATACTTACAGCTGGAGACTGCCAACCGCATACTGGTAGAGAGGAGTTGCAGAAGGGCCATTATTTTCTCTCTTTGCGGTATTTTTTTTATTATTTTCCTCTTGTCAAGTTGATTTTCTATGTTTGTTTGAGGTAAGAACCCATAGAACAGAATTTAATATAAGATATTCTTTTACATCTTTTTCTTTTTAATGTGGACCAACGCTCAGTTTTGGCTTTTCTCTTTGATTCCACACTTCTGTGCTCCAACTCAGACTACAGCACTAAATCCTTAAAGCTAAAGAATAAATCTATGAAGGGGGAGGGAGTTAATAGAGTGAGAACCAAGGCCTCATGTTTTCATTTGGGCCTACAAAGATTTCCTTTACACTTGTTACTTTTCTCTTTCATCGGTTGCCAAGTTGCCCCATTCCCCCTTTAGCAGAGACACGAACACGCTGCTCCTTTCAGAGACATCATTAATACATCTGGGTAAATGTCTCTAAAAGTTTCCTGCAAATATGCATACAAATGAAAAGCTGAATTTGCTTCCGCTGTGTTAACAGTCCTTTGGTGTTCACTCCCCACAGCTAGGCTTAGTGTGCTTGACTATCCTGGCAGGAGCATTCACAGAAACAGCCAATTTTAAGTGAAAGTCTGAAAACATTCCTAAAACACAGACTTGTAAGCTTATAGAGCCACACAGGAAATTGAGTTTTAAGAGCTGTGCTCCTCCACTTATGGAACAGAAACAATGCAATGTGACTGCACTAAAACTAAACACCAGCTAGAATTTTAAATCTCAACTGTAGTGAATACTTGCATGGAACGTCTCCTGAATAATTTACAGAGCAAGGTGTATTTATAAAACTAATGGCTGAGTAATTTCAAATTAATTAACGACCTCCCAAGATAATAGTAAAATTCTCATGGGTAATTTGCAAACTGAAGGCTAACTTCACCTAATAAATTATTCTATTCACTGCTCATTATTTGCAAAGCAACAGGGTTGGATTCTGATACCCTTGCCTTAATTAGTGGTTGGCTGATTAGTTAGCAGTCAGCCCTATACAGGGGAGGAGAAGAAGAAAGAAGCTCTTTTCTCTTTCTCTCCAGGAGGGTTGAGTTCCATCACTGACTGGCCTGTGCTAGTCTACAGCACCTAATAGAGAAGATGACCTGTGAGAGGGTCCATGGCCTCTTCCTGCCTGTGCTTCTAGCAGAGCTGAGTTTGCTTAGGGAGGCACATGTGAAAAGGTGGCAGAGCAAAAACTTTGATGACAAATCTTTTGTAGGCATTAATCAGCACGAGGGGAAGAGTGAAATTCCAACTGATCAACTCCCAGGCAGAGCTGGCGTAAGACAGGTATGATAGGATTGTGTGTAGTGCCCTGGCTCCTGGAGTTATAGGAGTACATCATAATCTGTTTCATTTAAAGTATAAACCCTCCTGATTGCAAGGTAAAGCTCGAAACCATGAACCCAGTGTAACAGATGCAGACACGCAGCTCGACACAATAGCTCTGAGGGGTGTGGATTACCTCAGCTTCCACACCCACTGCTTTGGGGACTTGCAAACACTGTCCGAAGAAGGGAGATGAGTGCAGCCAGACCAGCCTGCTCTCTCCAATAGGTGCACGCTCGCCACTGGGGAAAGTAGAGTTGCCAGGTTTCTTTTATTCACCCGGATGGTCCGGTATTTTCGCCTCCTGTCCGGTAAAAAGAAATTCAGAGAATACCGGACACCTGAGATGTCCATATTTTCTGAATTTCTCCCCGGCCAGGAGGCGAAAATGCTGGGTACCTGGCAACCCTACGAACCTTGGCCCCCAACACCCCCAGCCCCCCGACCCCAGCCTTACCTGGTTCCCTAAGACTGCCAGCACAGGAAAGACCTAGGGGAAGCAATGCTTCCCCTGGGTCTTAGTGCTCAACCGCTCCCCAGTTCCTATCCCTGAACTCACTCTTAAAGGGGACATGCTGTTTTAATGCTGTTTTATTTTATTTTGGCTTAATAAGACCTTGGAGTCCTTTTGTTGTTGTTGTTGTTTGTTGTTCAACAACTTTGGTTTCCCCCCCTTTTTTCCCTTCAACAGAATTTTTTCCTGGTGTTTTTTTTGGGGGGGGGGGGGAGAGGTGTTTGGTATTTTTGTTTCAACCATCTGGCAACCCTAGGGGTAAGTGCCAGGGACCCCTCTTCCATAGCTCTCCAGGGTGGAGATCTGTGCTGCTGGAGATGTGGGATCAGAGTCACAGGGGCCCCAGAGTCATAGTGTGCCTAAGGTCCCAAAATCCTTTAGGCCCCGGCTTCTACACAGCTGCCGTCTTCCACAAGAGACACACACACCTGAATCAGGAACCATTCAGAGAAACTCTAGAAATCAGCCAGGAATCTACCACTCCAGACAAAGTGAAGGACAGAGGAGACTGACAACCCCCTGCCTGCTAACCCACCTCACACATACGAGCAAGAAAACCTGCAACTAATCCAAATAGCTGGGCTTGGAAATCACACCCTACATGAGGCAAGCAGGTGAAACACCTCTCAGGTCTTTATAAAAATAAAACAGCCCCTGCCTCCCAACCCCAGCTGTTGCCGTTCCTCAGCATCCACATTTTATTTGTCAAGAACGGAACATCGTGCTCTTGTGACCTTTCCTGCTGGTGAGTGATCCATCCGTGGGTGTGTGATGCAGCTTCCGCTGTGTTAATTTGGCTTTGGAGCTCTTACTCAGGCTGCATAGTTCACACAGCTGCCAAATTCAGTTTACTTTATGACGTACTCTGTGTAAGCTGAGAAATGGCACTGCTTTTGGAGTAGATCCTGCAGGGCAAACTGAGAACACGCTGCGACCAGCCTCACCGAACAACAAATGATCAAACAGATCTACACGAATGCAGGGCACTTTGCTCAAATCTGTGAACGTGTTTATGTGACGACTGGTGATGAAAACCACTCAATACAAAATCAGCCCGTAATTCCTAGTAAATGAGTACACTCTGGGGTGTGACTCAATCAGATCATTTCTGCACTAAGACATGTCCCAGCTCCCAAAAGAATACACTCTGCAACAGACAGCATGATCCCTGAAACGCACCATCAGCTAGGATGCATTCTCAGAACGCTAGCAAAACCAGTGGGGTTCCGACAATTGACTCCAGCTGACGATTTGACCTAGGGATGTGAATGGTTAACCAGCTAACCGGCCGGGGATGGAGCAGTGCCCAGCCCACCAGGGAGCCTGTCGCAGGCACGGGGCACTCCAGCCCAGTTGGAGCAGCCCCACCCAGGATGGGCCTGGCCTGACATGCTGGGGGCAGCAGCATTCTAGCCCAGCCAGAGCCCCCATGATGGGGGAAAGGAGGCTGCTCCAGCCAGCACTCCCCCCATTAACTGGTTAAACATAATGTTTAACTAGTTAACTAATTAAACACGATTTTACATTCCAAATCTGCCCCAATGTGTTTAAAAGTATGTCGATGGGACGTATGTATCAGTAGGATACTTAATAAGTCTCCTTCCTGTGACAGCACAGACGCTGAATAAGCTGATTCACTAGCTACAGTCAGCAAAGAATGTCCTATTTAATCTATTCTCCTTCAAAAACTTAACGTAAATTTGGCCTCTACCTAGCTGAAGAAAGATCATATTCTCGTCTATGGTACTAAGTATCAGAGGGGTTGCCGTGTTAGTCTGAATCTGTATTAACAACAAGGAGTCCCGTGGTACCTTATAGACCAGTGGTCCCCAACCTTTTGGGGCTGCTGGGCACCTGGGGGCGGGGCTACTCACGTGCTGGGTACCCGGTGACGGGGCCATGCACATGCCTGGGGGTGGGGCCACCCATACGGCACGTGCCCGGTGCTGGCGCCACCCATGCACCGCACTCCCGGGGACAGCACCGCTCCTGTGCCGCGCGCCCAGGGGCTGGCACTGCCCATATGCCGTATGTTCAGGGCCAGCACAGCCCTTGAGTTGCGCACCCGGGGGCGGAATCACCCAAACGCTGTGCACCCGGGGGTGGGGCCGCCCATGTGCTGCAAGGCTGGGGCCTACGCTGTCCATACACCGTGCACCCAGGGGGCCGGCACCACCCATGCACCGTGCGCCATGGGGCGGTGGCGGCCCCATTCACTTGGCGGGTGCGCAGAAATGGCCCGGCGGGCGCCATGGCGCCCTCGGGCACCGCATTGGGGACCACTGTTATAGACTAACAGATTTATTGAAGCATAAGCTTTCGTGGGCAAAGACCCACTTCGTCAGATGGAACTAAGCAGGCTCTTACTCAGAGATATAATGAGCTGCCACTTTGCTCCCAAAACAAAAACATACTCTCTGATTATAGATAGCCTTCTCATAAAAACATTGGTGTCTCTAGGGTACCTAAGTTCACCTCTTTTTTACCACAGGTTCCAAAACTGCTTCAGCTGAAATAAGGACAAAATTCCCACTGACTTATCTAGGGAAGGAGCCAAGCCTCTTACGGGCATGTGTTTGTGAATACCTACATAACACAGCTTCTTCTGGATCTTACCACGGAACATGTTTAATGTAGCACTAGTGGTTTACTGTATTAAGTACATTAAACTATAATTTCTCTAATAGCAGTTTGCCTTGTATTTATAGACCATGGAAGTTTATGGTTCAAGAAAACAGAAGGCAGAGATCCTGCCATTATAGGGTTACTTACTTACCTTCCAAGTAATTCTGAAAAAATCTAGACGCAGATTGAGTCCAGTCATTCAAAATTATTTTAGAATTTATTCTAGATAAAGGCAGTTACGGGTACATTGAACATAGGACAGGGATACAGGCACTCAGCCTTCAAAAACGTACATAAGAACGGCCATACTGGATCAGACCAATGGTCCATCTAACTCAGTATCCTGTCTTCTGACAGTGGCCAATGCCTGGTGTTTTCAGAAGGAATTAACAGTACAGGTCAACAGTGAGTGATCCATGCCCTGCCATCCACTTCATCCAGAACATATAGTTGTAACCCATATAGTCACTGTTGGATCTATCCTCCATGATACTGACTTCTTCCAGGAGTCATTCTGCCTCAGGTTTCCCTATCTGTAAAATGGAGCTAATACTTCCCCTACAGAGACAATGGAGAATTATTAACTAGTTATTATGTGCAATACAACCTGAAGATATAAAAAACACCAATTATTGTTTTTAACAGATTCCACAGGGAGAGGCAACCTAGTTTTTCTTTGTGTCTGTTGTGTGTAGTTTTAAACTCCTGAAACATGCAGCATTCATCTAGAGGATAGACACTTCATCAGCAATAGGGATGTGTCTTCATAGAATGCTGTTTCTTTACTATAAGTAGGCTACCATGTTTGTGATACACAAGGAGTTAAGAAATAACTTTCTGAGATTACTGAAAAATAAGGAGAAAGGGCTGTTCACTTAAAAAAAAATATTTTCTTGCTTTGCATTTAACTCTTCAAAACTGGCAAGAGAGAAAATCCAAAGCCAACCTACATAAGGAAACCAAATTTAAAATGATCTCAGACATTTTTCAAAAGCTTATCTTGGTATCAGACTGTCATGGGCCACCATTTGAAAGCAAATATCAATAGAACAATAATTTACTATTAGCTATAAAAAATACCACTGTATTCCCTGCACATCTTAAAAAACACATAATCCCTGTTGAGCAATTTGAAGATTTTTGATAGTTCTGAAGATGAAAAATGCACGCCTTTATT